CATGCAAATGGCTCACTTCAAGCATGTGTGAAGAGACTACTGAAATACTCAGATTTAAGCATTTGCAGGATCAGGAACATACACCTCTACCCCGATATGATGCTGTCCTCGGGAGCCAAAAAATCTTACTGCATTATAGGTGAAACCGCGTTATATTGAACTTGCTTTGATCCGCCGGAGCGCACAGCCCCACCCCCCCAGAGCGCTGCTTTACCATGTTATATCAGAATTCGTGTTATATCGGGTCAGAGGGATAGCTCAGTGGTTTGAGCATTGGCCTGCTAAACCGAGGGTTGTGAGCTCAATCCTTGAGGGGGCCACTTAGGGATCGGGGGCAAAATCAGTACTTGGTCCTGCTAGTGAAGGCAGGGGGCTGGACTCGATGACCTTTCAAGTTCCCTTCCAGTTCTAGGAGATAGGATATCTCCATTAATTTATTATTTATTTATTTATTGTTTTTATTTATATTGGGGTCGAGGTGTATTCAGTTAGTTTGCTTAAACAGCCTGAAGATTTGCACATTCACTTTAATGTATTATATGTCCTTGGATCTTCAGCCATAAGGGCTTATTTGCGGTAAAGAATAGCCATTTGTCACCATCCAGTGGCCACCACTCTCATGCATACATACACTTTACAAAGAGCTTCTGAAAAGGCCAATCTGCTGCCCACAGCCAATGCAGAATGCAGCAGCATGATTGTTGAGAGGTGTGAGGAGAATCTTTTTGGCCAGCCCATTGCTTCATACTCTGAATTTGCTACTTGTAGATGTGGGCTAAGTTGAACATTTAGATATTGACACTGAACCCCCTAAATGGACTGGATCCTAATTACAAGAGCTTCCTGGAGTCTCTATATATCAAAGCCCGGGCTGCTCATATTTCAAAGAGTTTCAGCACAGCAAAAAGTGAAACCAGTTCACCTTCCCTTTGCTGGCATTTTAATTGATTACATTGTTTGATAAAGCCTAGAAGACTTACAGCAAAGTAGGAGCTTAAGATAACATTCAAGATATAAGTCAGAAGCACTCAAGGGAACAAGAAAGCTCACATAGTGGCCTGAAGTTCAAAGATGCTGAGCACCTGCAGCTACCAATGCCTCCCAAAAGGGCATCATCAGGTGTTCAGCACCTCTTGAAAAAAAGATTACAAACCATCAGGGACTTTAAATGTAAGTTCTATATACAAATCTCTCAGCTATTTGTTTAATTGAGTATACTTAATAAACGAGTCATTATACCAAAAAACTGAGGTCAAAACGTGAACCAAGATTTCGCCTATTATGATTTGAAACTCCTTAAAATACTCAGTACTCAACATTCAGTTTTATTACGAAAATGCCAACTCAATCTGAAAAGCAGCACACGTGTGGCTTCAAGATTTCCAGCAAGAATTTAAGATTAGACAGATTTTTGAAGTTTTGCCCAATACAATTTCTAGTTCAGACTTTGGTCTAGACTGTTCTCTTACAATCGTTCTCACCTTCCGATATCGAATATAAAAGGGTACTTCACATAACGTGGAAAATTAACTCCTGAAACTCTAAAGAAAGAGGCATTCTATTTAGATCACAACAGTGTCTTCATAAACATGACTAAATGCAGGCTAGAAATCCTAGGTCCACAAATAATAGTGGTAATAGGTAACCGTTATGCTCTTCTTGATACAGGAGAGAAGGAATCACCCCCTAAAGTAAAGGAGGAGAAGCCTCGTACCCCTAAGGCTGGGAGGTCTGCTGCCACCACTGCGACTAGGAAACGTAGGGTAGTGGTGGTCGGAGACTCTCTGCTGAGGGGGACGGAGGCGCCCATCTGTCGCCCTGACATTTCATCTCGGGAGGTATGCTGCCTGCCGGGAGCCCGTATCCGAAATGTTACGGAGGCATTGTCGAGGATTATCCAGCCCTCTGACTACTATCCCATGCTACTCATCCATGTGGGCACAAATGATACTGCGAGGTGTGACACTGAGCAGATCAAGAGTGACTACAGGGCTCTGGGAGTACGGGTGAAGGAATTTGGAGCACAGGTGGTATTCTCTTCGATTCTTCCTATCAAAGGTAGGGGCCCGGGCAGAGACAGATGCATCATGGAGGTGAATGCCTGGCTGCGAAGATGGTGTCGCCAGGAGGGCTTTGGCTTCCTCGACCACGGGATGCTATTCGAGGAAGGACTGCTAGGCAGAGATGGCGTTCTCCTTTCGAGGAGGGGAAAGACCCTATTTGGACACAGACTGGCTAACCTAGTGAGGAGGGCTTTAAACTAGGTTCGACGGGGACAGGTGAGCAAAGCCCACAGGTAAGTGGGGAACATGGGAGACCTGGGAGATGGGTCGGAAACAAGAGGGAATGTGGGCTATATTGGCAGAGAGAAAGGAGGCTCAGGACAAAACTGGCGGGCAAGATCAAACCAGTATCTTCGATGCTTATATACAAATGCGAGAAGTATGGGTAATAAGCAGGAAGAACTGGAAGTGCTAATAAATAAACACAACTATGACATTGTTGGCATCACTGAAACTTGGTGGGATAATACACATGATTGGAATGTTGGTGTGGAGGGGTACAGCTTGCTCAGGAAGGATAGACAGGGGAAAAAGGGAGGAGGTGTTGCCTTATATATTAAAAATGTACACACTTGGACTGAGGTGGAGATGGACATAGGACCGGAAGTGTTGAGAGTCTCTGGGTTAGGCTAAAAGGGGTAAAAAACAAGGGTGATGTCATGCTAGGAGTCTACTACAGGCCACCTAACCAGGTGGAGGTATCTGAGCATCTAGCTATTATCTTTGGAAAATCATGGGAGACGGGAGAGATTCCCGAAGACTGGAAAAGGGCAAATATAGTGCCCATCTATAAAAAGGGAAATAAAAACAACCCAGGAAACTACAGACCAGTTAGTTTAACTTCTGTGCCAGAGAAGATAATGGAGCAAGTAATTAAGGAAATCATCTGCAAACACTTGGAAGGTGGTAAGGTGATAGGGAATAGCCAGCATGGAATTGTAAAGAACAAATCGTGTCAAACCAATCTGATAGCTTTCTTTGATAGGATAACGAGTCTTGTGGATAAGGGAGAAGCTGTGGATGTGGTATACCTAGACTTTAGTAAGGCATTTGACATGGTCTCACATGATATTCTTATCGATAAACTAGGCAAATACAATTTAGATGAGGCTACTATAAGGTGGGTGCATAACTGGCTGGATAACCGTACTCAGAGTCTCGTTATTAATGGTTCCCAATCCTGCTGGAAAGGCATAACGAGTGGAGTTCCGCAGGGGTCTGTTTTGGGACCAGCTCTGTTCAATATCTTCATTAACGACTTGGATATTGGCATAGAAAGTACGCTTATTAAGTTTGCAGATGATACCAAACTGGGAGGGATTGCAACTGCTTTGGAGGACAGGGTCATAATTTAAAATGATCTGGACAAATTGGAGAAATGGTCTGAGGTAAATAGGATGAAGTTTAACAAAGACAAATGCAAAGTGCTCCACTTAGGAAGGAAAAATCAGTTTCACACATACAGAATGGGAAGAGACTGTCTAGGAAGGAGTACGGCAGAAAGGGATCTAGGGGTTATAGTGGACCACAAGCTAAATATGAGTCAACAGTGTGATGCTGTTGCAAAAAAAGCAAACGTGATTCTGGTATGTATTAACAGGTGTGTTGTGAGCAAGACACGAGAAGTCATTCTTCCGCTCTACTCTGCGCTGGTTAGGCCTCAGCTGGAGTACTGTGTCCAGTTCTGGGCACCGCATTTTAAGAAAGATGTGGAGAAATTGGAGAGGGTCCAGAGAAGAGCAACAAGAATGATTAAAGGTCTTGAGAACATGACTTATGAAGGAAGGCTGAAAGAATTGGGTTTGTTTAGTTTGGAAAAGAGAAGACAGAGGGGACATGATAGCAGTGTTCAGGTATCTAAAAGGGTGTCATAAGGAGGAGGGAGAAAACTTGTTCACCTTAGCCTCTAAGGATAGAACAAGAAGCAATGGGCTTAAACTGCAGCAAGGGAGGTCTAGGTTGGACATTAGGAAAAAGTTCCTAACTGTCAGGGTGGTTAAACACTGGAATAAATTGCCTAGGGAGGTTGTGGAATCTCCATCTCTGGAGATATTTAAGAGTAGGTTAGATAAATGTCTAACAGGGATGGTCTAGACAGTATTTGGTCCTGCCATGCGGGCAGGGGATTGGACTCGATGACCTCTCGAGGTCCCTTCCAGTCCTAGAATCTGTGAATCTATGAATAGTGATAAATCCACACGTAGCTCTTACATAGCCCTTCACAAGCACAGCTCACTTGGAAACTGTGACAGAGGTCAATGAGTTGGCTCACAGTCACAAACCAAGTTAGTTCAGGGACAGACACAGAACCTAGGTCTGCTTCCGAGTCTAATGTTCTAATGCTCTATGCTACCTCCTCATCAGTATGTATGAAATAGATCGAGAGTATCCCTCCCCAGGGAAGTTGTATTTTCCCCCCACACTGGCATAGCAATTGGTAGGTGACTGTGGCCAGAACCAAAAACTGGTATTAAAACATTTTTTCCTTAGTGAGAGAGGAAAAGACTGACATATTGCTCTACAGCAAGATACTGGATAAACCCATCTGACACCACTGTAAATGTTTGCCTGGATAATAGACAAGCACTGGCTACACCTATGGTACTGAGACATTATAGCCTGTCACAGCATCAAAACATCTTCCCTCCACAGCAACCATCAATACCTACTCAACTAACTTCTAGGGTGCATGTGAATCTATGACTATTATAACCATCAACAAAAAAGAACAGTTTAGTTTGATGATGATAGTTTTGGTAAGAACCTCCATGGAATGCAGAATTAAAGAAATAAGCATCATAAATGCAGAAGGCTTACAATATCACAATACAGAAGCCTCAGACTCTTGACAGGATGGACAGAAGGTTTATTACTTCCTTTTTGATTCCTCTGGACTTGTGTTTAGAATGCAACACTCTAGTAACTGGGACACTTTACCTTGATTAACTTCAGCTCGAGAAGGACCCAAATTTTTTTTCTGCTGTGCATTTTTAGCAAGAAGCGTGTGTTTGTCATCACTCCCTGTGTCAAGTTCTGAAATTGTGACTGCAAGGATCCTACAGAAATTGGCAAGTTGCTGTTGATCAAAACTGGATACTAGACTTGCAAGATTGGGAATATCTTCTAATTGTATCATTTCCTATAGAAGACAAAACAATGCATTGATTGTTTGATGTAATAAACAAACAGTCTTTTCACCAAAATCAATGTTAACCAAGGGACGATATAAAAATTAAAGAGCCTTCCCCAACAGGATTAAATTGTTTTAAATTTAGTCAGACAAGGGTAGATGGGTAGCAGAAGTTCCTCAGAGTTTGAAAGGGGCTGTGAATCCCAACCTAAGGCTAAGATCCCACATGTTCACCAATTCATGAGAGAACATTATTCTCAAATCATTTTCCTAAAAAAAAAAAAAAAATTGTGAAAAAATAAGTATTAAGCCAATTTTAGCTATTTTAGCTAAGTTTCAATATTTTGTTTGTATCCCCAAATTTATTGAAGTTAAATGCATCTATAGATGGACTGCGCTGTCGGATATTTTTAAATTATAGTTTCATCGGTGATAAGGGAAGATTCTGAGAAGTAACCAGAAGGAAGGATCAGACAAGTGTCTAAGCATCCTTCAGAAAAGGTAAACATCAAAATATACATCTTAATAATTAGTCAGAATTTACATAAATATTGAATTTCAGGAAAAAACTAACCCTATAACCCCAAAACCCTATCTAGAAGGCAGTAATTAGCCGGACACAAGTCCAATTACTGTATTTCACTGCTGCAGAGATATTAGCAGAGGAAAGGGAATAATTAGGTATGCAGCAGTGACACCCGCTAAGAAGGGATACTGGTCATATTATTCAGGACTACCATTTAGAATTTATTAAATGAGTACTACAGACATTTTTAAAAACAGAGGTTTTGGAATTAGCAGGACTCTCTGCATGAGAACCAGGGAGTAAAACTGACAAGCATATTTTCATTGTTCAACCTATTATCTATGCTGTTTCAACTTTAATAGAACTTTTTCTTAACATAAGGAAGCTTGGCTACCAATATTTTAAATATTACATCCCTTTAAGGCAGAACTGTTGTTCTAATACCCAGTGACATTGCACAGAGTCCCGAACATTAAAATTAGAGCAGACTAAAAGCCACCACATGACTGACAACTTCTAGCAAAAAGACTCCTTTTAGGTCAATTTGGAAAGCAGTTTAGTCTGACATATGCATTCTTCATTACTTAGTGATGAGAATGAAATTCCCAAAGTTAAGACAGAGAAGTACATCTACTTTACAAATGCAACGGTGTCAAGAGACACCACATACCACATTGGTCCCTGACTTGAATATAGCACCTAGTATAGATGAGACCTTAAATGTATCCTGCCCAAGGTTTTACAATGGTTATATGTCTCCAACAATATTTTATTTGGAACACTAAATAACATGGTAACGAATGGCAAATTTTCTTCAATGCATGTTCACAAAAAAAAAAACAAAAAAAAACCCCACCAACTATTAACATAGCTGACTTTTCCCCTCTAGCACACAACCCTGAACAGTTACCTGAACAGTTACACAACCACGATTATAGAAACATCCACAGACCTTTTTAACTCCTAGGATATCTTCAATAAGCGTTGCTGTTTGCAGAAATGTTTTTTTGTTTGTCATCAATGTAAACAGGAACAACACAAAATCATTTCTTTCTGCCAATCGTTTAGTGACTCCTTCAGTCTAGAAGAAAGCGAGGAATGGTAAAATACACCCAACAATGGCAGGCGGCTGCACTGGCAAATCAGATGTGATAATCATACGTAGCAAGCCAGTTTCACAAACACTCTCTTGGTTACCTATTTGGCAATTCCTAGAAGTTGGTGACATGCTGTCCAGGGAGATGAACAATTCAGCTAATCCTCATGGGGCCTGCCGAAACTACAGGTCCCAGCATGAAAAACTCCATTTTGACTTGAATTGTTTGCCTGCTTGGAACAAGATTAAATGTTGCACAGCTGGACCCTGCATTGCCTGTGGGCTTTAGCTCTCTATTGGATCTGATAGCAGTTGCCTTAATCTCTATTTTAGGGAAATTAGATGTGGCCCTCAGTCTCTTGTCCAAATGCTAACATAGTTCTCAGTTGAACAGAGTTTTCTCAAAGTTTCCACTGACTTCAATGTGGCCAGGATTTCACCCTGATCACTGGTTGGAGTAAGGTTGCTCTTTGGTTTAATTCAGTATTTTTTATTCCAGAAAACGTTACCCCAAATGGTCAAAAATCTGTCTGGTCAGAGTTCAGCAAGACTGACCATGTACTAGTGGCCGTAGCATAGAAACAAGACCTCAAGAGGTCATCAAGTCCAGGCCCTTATGCTGAGGCAAGGCCAAGTAAACCTCGACCATCCCTGACAGGTGTTTATACAAACTATTCTTAAAAACCTCTATTAATATGGTATTGATCAAATGTATTAGATATCAGCATAGATATCATACCTAGATATAAAGAGAATTAAACCAGAACTGCACCAAGACATTAGACAGTCTTACAATCCTGAAGCAACCCTCCATTCAAATCCATCCCAATAATCCAGAGAGGGCACTACAATTGAAATGAGTTAAGTCAGCCAGCAGCTATTCTATGGATTGCAAATGCGATCATTTTTAGATTAAATGCAGCTATCACAAACTACCTCTATTTTTTCCCCCTTAGTAGATCAAATAATGAATGCTCAAACACCAGCCCTTGCCACTTTTACAAGGTCTCTGTACTGTTTAGAGAACACGGTGTACTAATACTTTTGTAATGTTAAGAGAAAGTCAGTTTCCCTAAAATGGCTCCAACTCAGTGATTACATGCAGCATTTCATTAAAACTACTGTATTTTAAACGTGCTCTCAGGCTTGTGATCATTTATCCACTAAAGGGTGATGACTAACTATACAATATTGAAAATACATTACTTATGGACAGTGTTTTAATAATTAGATATGCACTTTAGGCCTCAATTTTTGAGCCAAGTTCTCTATAGACTTCTAACCTGCAGCCCTTCCTCGGCACTCAGGCTCCAGTGATTGACAAAGGATGTTCTGCATATGAATTGTCTGCAGGATCAGGCCCCTAACACCCTTGGTTGACTAGGCTATTGAACGGTGCACAGGCAGAGATGCTCAAATTAAGATGTGGGCGTACATTTTTCTAGTTTTGATATTTCTGTTTCTAAGTACAAGAGCTGAAAATAGCTCTCAGATGGGAACATGAATATGTACAAATGTCCACAATAGTGTGTCAGAATTACTGGGCACTCAGCTACTGCAGTGGTGCATTATAGAAAGCCCTATAAATAAAACACTACTTAGACAAACGCCCAAACACAGAGAGTGGCTGAATATAGTAGGTCCAGATATGTAACCAGACTTTGGAAAATGTTGCAAACTAGAGTTGCATTATGTCTTTAAATTATGTTTTAAAAGCAAATAGGCTTTCATTCCTGGGGTACGTGCAGCCAATGCCGAAGCATGGAACATGTTTGTTTGCCAAGAAAAGGAACATACATATTTTTAAAAAGGTAATACTTACACATATGCAAGTGTTGTACAATATGCTTAAGCAGTCCTTGATCAGGTCGTCACTTACTACAAAGCAAAAGTAAGACCAATTCATTAGTTTCCAGAACACTTAATTTCTATGCTATAATCAGAGCACTGTGTATGACATTTTAAATATTCAATTAAACAGCCTGAAACGGATATGCAAAGAAATTAAGCTGCAATTAGCAACCAGTTAGAAATGATTAACGAGATACTCGACCACTATAGTCCAAGAGATTTAATGGCCTGAGGACGTGTTATAGGGCATGCTAATTCTGACCTACGTCCAAAAAACATCAATCTTCTAGTCTTTCCCTCCTCGGATTAACCACAACCAACTAACATTGTTTCAAAGAGGACACATTTTCCCAGCATAAACAAAACCTTTGACAGATTTTATCTTGTTATTTCACCTGTGAATCTCAGTTTCTTCACTTGAGAAGTGGGGAGGATATCATAATACTTCTCCTTCTCAGAGGTATTGCAAGGGCCAGATAGTGTCAGGTAGACATGGAAGATGAAAGATACAAATATTGAGCCTACTGAGCTGCTCCAGCAGACAAAATGCTATTCTGAAGCAACTTGTTAGTTCACTTTGGCACACTCCCTTTATTATATAGTTAGGAAATTACTATTCATTACATGTCTGGAAAAATGAGATTCTCTTCACTGACTCACTCTAGGGACTGTACTCTAGGGACAACATTCTGGAGGGATTGAATAGGAGCTATATAGCCACCAATAACTTCAGTGGAAGTTTCTAACATTTGTTGACCTGCCAATGCCTGGAAACCAAATCTATGCACTGGAAAAAATATAGACACTAACAAACTATGCCTTAAACACATACTGACTATAATTCACCCCCTCAAATTTGCACCACAAAGAATGACTGACAGTTTTTCTATTTCAGGAATAGTGAATCATTTGTTTAGTAAAGTAAGGGTGAAAGATATAAATGGGGGAGGAAACAAGGAAAGACACTGAAAAACAGCTATTTAATCAAACCTTATCTACTTACTTTTCTGTTTCTTTTTCTGTGTAATAAGAGTTGGTCTCATAAGAATTTCCACTAGAAGCTGTGAAAATAAGAGAATGAACTGAAGTGTAGAGTCATTTTAACAGACTCAATCAAAAAGCCACCCAAGACCCATGGATTTTATCATCTCTAAATAGCAAGCCCCAAATCAGTCCGATTTCCTAAAGAACTGTAGATAACAGTGTGAGTGAACCACTACAAACATGGCTGCCTCAATGTACCTCCTTTCTGGTTGCATGAAATATCACGTGGCCTGCTGTTAAGCTATTGATCTGGTTTTGGAGAAAGTCAGGCACTGCAAACGCACTTGGAGCGCTGCACACATTCATACACATTGCATTTTCCAAGAACAAAATAGCAAAGATAGCACATGGCACTATGGGATCCCACTAATGATTGGCCCTTCGGAACGGAAGTTATAAACATATTAAATGAAGTATTTCAAACTTACCAAAGTGTTTTTTGAACCAAGTGTCCTTTTCCACCCCCAAACAAGATCCCTTTTAACAGCTATTCAAGGTCACAGATTGCAGGAATGCCTAGCCCACCAAATTTTAGCATCATTTCAATTCTACGGGCAATCACCCACAGCCATTGCCCTTACAACTGGAAGCAAAAAGAATTTTAGATAAAAAAAAAAAAAAAAAAAAAAACACGTTTTCCCTGACTGATTATGATAATTAGAGCAAGCTGATTCTCCTCCTTAACAGTGAACAAAGGTAACTAACAGGAGAGATTTGGAGGGAGTTTAGAGAAGGAGCATGAAAGGCTTTCCTTCCAGGTTTAACACTCGAGATTTCAAACTGCTTAGTGATGCAACAGTGGTGGTGACCTGCTACACATATGTGCCATATTCTCTTTCCTGCCTGAAGAGGGAAGGGATTTCCTGTGCATGAAGTTCAAGTTGGTGGCTGTGCTGCAGGAGAAAATTCTTGGATTGGAGCAGGAGTAGGGATGTTACTGAGAAACAGAAAAGCTGAGTAGTTCCCTAGTCAACCAGTTTCACAAAACATCAGTACTCCAGGTCCTGAAAGAATACTGTTTGGGGGGGGGGGGGGGGAAGGGAATGTGTCATCAGAGCTGCTATTTCCCCTACTCTCCTAGCCGAGGTGATCACCACCAGGAAAGCCGTTTTCATTGACGGGTACGTAAGCGAACAGGTAGCCATGGGTTCGAAGGGAGATCTAGTCAGGCTTTTCAATATTAGGTTTAGGTCCCATGTTGGGGTGGGATGTCAGGGTTGGGAGAAAAGATTTACTATGCCCCTGAGGAATTGTTTTGTGGTAGGGTGTGATAGCAATGAGTATCCCTCTACTTGTTGGTGAAAAGCTGCTAGGTGGACCCTGAGTGAACAGAGAGAGAGAGAGAGACCCATTTTTTTTTTTTTAAGAGTCAGTACATAGCCTAGGAACTTTGGAAGAGTAGCAGATGTCGGAGAAATTTGTTGGGAATTACACCACGTCTGAAACCTGGACCACTTTTGCAGGTAGAATACGGAGTGTTGTGGATTTTTTACTGCATAGTAATACCTCCTGTACCTCATCTGAGCAGGAGCTTTCTATGCGTTGGAATCATGAAGGAGTCAAGCCTTGAGGCAGAGAATCCTCCAGCTGGAACGTAGAGTGCATTCTTTGTTTGGCGAGAGGAGGTATGGTGTGGACTGGAGAGAGGTCGGCGAGCACATCGCAAGTTGTGACAGGTAAGGGCACCAAGTCTGTCTCAGTCAAGTGAGGGCAATCAGTACAACATGTGGTCCTCCTCGTTTTATTTTTAATAGGATTTTTGACAGATGGGGAAATGGAGGAAAGGCATAGAGAAGGTCCCTGTCTCACAGAAGAAGTGTTGCGCTGGGAGTGTTGCCCCATCCCTGCTTTGGAGCAATGTCATGGACATTTCTTGTACAGGTAAGTGGTGAACAGGGTTGTGGTCTGTCTCTCTCCCACCTCCACCTCCCACCGCCTGAATAGGTTGTGGCTTTATCTCCCATTCATGGTCGTGTGGGAACTTGCAACTGAGACTGTCCGCTATAGAGTTTTGCGTTCCTGGAAGGTAGGCCGCTGATAGTGTGCTATGGGAAACGCACCAGTTCCATAACCTTGTGCTTTTGCGCAGAGGGAGGGTGACCTGGCGCCTCGTCAATATATGTAATACATACATACTATTTTGTCTGTTAAGACTCATGTGTTCCCTTGATCAGTGGGAGGAAATGGGTGCAGGTATTCCTGACCACCCTGAGCTTGAGGAGGTTGATGTAGGAGGATATCTCCATAGACGACCATTTGCCTTGTGCTGTAAGGTTGTTTAGATGCACGCCCCATCCCATAAGGAATGCATCGGTGGTCAGAAGTAACAACAGGGAAGTTTGCAGAGAGATCTCCTTTTTGCAAACATTTGCTGGGTTTTTCCACCAGTCCAGGGAGTTTTTGACCTTGGTGGACAGTGACAGGGGTTTGTCTAGTCTGTCTATTTGGTCTGTAGACTGAGCTGAACCAACTCTGAAGACACTGCACATGAAACCTGGCATGAGGTATCACCACTGTGCTGGCTGCCATATGTCCCAGGAGTTGGAGGCAGTGTCTGGCTGATATCTGGGGACTGTTTTCTACTGTCTATGAACGTGGCCAAGGTGCTGAGGCAGGAGCGTTTTGGCTTGTAATGAGTCATGGTGGGCCCCTATGAATTCCAGGTGCTGTACCAGGGTGAGGGTTGATTTTTGGACACTGATCTTCAGACCCAGTTCCATGAACAAGTCTATTGCAGTCTTGGTAATCCAACAAGCCTAGCTGAAGGAGCGGGCTCGGAGGAAACAATCGTCCAGGTAGGGGTAGGTCATGATTTCCTGGGAGCGTAGGTGAGCAGCCACTACTGAGAGGACTTTGAAGAATACCGTTGGAGCGGATGATAGCCCAAAGGGGAGTACTCTGTACTGACAGTGGTCTTGTCTCAGGGTAAATCTGAGGAACAGCCTGGGGAACAGAAGGACTGAGATATGGAAATAGGTGCCCCGAAGGTTGAGGGCCGAAAAATCAGTCTCCCTGCTCCAATGCTGGAATAATTGTTGCTAGAGTGGCCATCTTGAATTTTTGAACTTTGACAAACTTGTTGCGTGCTCTGATATCTAGTACGGGTCTCCAACCTTCCTTCTTGGGTATTCTGAAATAGCAAGAGAAAAAAAATCTTTGCCTTGTAGATGTGGAGATATTTGTTCTGTGGCTCCTAACAGGAGGAGGAGATCTATTTCTTGTTGTAGTAAACTCTCGTAAGAATGGTCCCTAAAGATGGACGGAGAAGGGTGTTGGGGACGGGGGTAGGTAAAGTGGATGGAGTACCCCCACTGAGAATTATTTCCAAGACCCATTGGTCCGATGTTATATGTTCCCAAGTGCTGTGGAATGTGGCAAGGTGGTAGTCAAATGGGTAGGATAGGTTGGTCAGCTGTAGTGGTTGAGGGGAAATGGTCGGTCGACACCTCAACTGACGTGTCAAAATTCATGTATGCAGGGGGATGGCTGTGACATGGAAGGCTGTGGGGGTTTACCATATAGTTTTTGCAAGGTCCAGGAGAACCTCATTGATAGGGAAGGCTATTCTGGAGGACAAGGAAAAGTGTAGGATGTCAAGGAGTTTGTGGTGAGAGTGTCCTTGACTTCCTCCAGGTGTATCTGCAGCATATCTGCTACCTTTTTGCCAAGTCCTGGAAGAGCTGGAAATCATTGGCTAAGGATGGTGGCGGACGCATGACTGCCTCATCCGGAGAGGAGGAAGATATTAGTTCTCAGTGTAACCTCTTCCTTAAATCTGTTCCTCCATAATCTCCTCTGGAGATTCCGAGGTTCTGGATGCCGTAGCCAAGGGAGAACGTCTCGGGGGCTCACAGGTGAGGCTGGAAGCCTGAGAAGTGTGGGGGCGATATGCCACCCAGTAGGGCCACTCAGGTGATGGGACAGAGTTTGGTGTTGGACCACCATGGCTGGCCGTATCATGGTGGTGATGCAGTAGGCTGAGGGTATGCTTGAGGAGCATCATAGAGAGCATGGGAGGAGTGGTGGGAGATTACCTCCTCTGGCTCACTGTCTGATTTGCCACTATACAGTGGCAGGTGCATGGCAGGGTACCGGAGAGGATTCCCACACTTGAAGAAGACTCAGTACCAAAGTCCGAGTGCTAACAAGAGGAGACTCTGGTATATCAGATACCCTGACGTCTCGAGTGCTGGAATTCCACTGGAATTGAGTGTGGACCGATCCAGTGCTGTTGGCAGTACTGAGGGAGTCAGGGATCTTGCCTGCACTGAACGCTCCAGTGCTTGCTTGCTCACTGATGACGGTGCTGATGGTACAGTGCATACCAGCAGTGTCTCCTTACTGGTGTGCTCTCCCTGCCCCAGTCTTTGTCAATTGGCACCGTTGGCTTGGTGCCTGTGCACATCAGGTCTTTGAGTGCGTCTATGGCACCTCCCTCTCCAGACCCTCATGAGCTATGGGTACCAGGCTTGGATTGTCTTGGTGCCAACAGTACCGAGCTTGCCGGAGATCTTTTGCAGCTAGCTCACGGCTCACTCTGGAGACTCACTGCTCTCTTTTTTAGATATCTTACAAGAGGGGATTTCTTCGACCCATAGTCCCTGGATGTTGAGGCCTATGGGGAAGACTCATTCCTTCTGGGTGACTCTTGGCATGGACTCAGGGAAGGTTGGCAGGCTGCCTTCATCAGGATGATCTTCTGTCTCAACTCCCTATCCTTTTGAGACCTTGGTTTATTAAGCCGTTGACAGAAACCACACTTCTGCAGAATGTGGTCTTCCCACGAGGCAGCATATGCAGCAAGAGTGTTTCTCTGCCACAGGGATGGCCTCCTTGCAAGAAAGGCACTTCTTGAAGCCTGGTGAGCTTGGCAAACCCTGTTAGAAAAAGGGGTCCCCAATAAACAAGGGGGGGGGCAATAAAGGGTTTTTCTGTTTTCAAAGAGAAAATAAAGAGAAAAAACAACAATTAAGACTGAAGGAGACTAACTACTAAAAATGCTAAAGAAGTTAACAATCATGAACAAACTGCTAATGGCTCTGTCCCTAGCCAGGGGCAACTGAGAAGGAACTGAGGGGGTTAGCTCCCACATGCTGGTTAGCCTTGTGGGGGGGCGCAAGGAGGACAGTGCACGTGCAGGTCTAATGGAGAACTTTAGTAGTAGTGTCCGATCAGTTGCATAGGGACACAAGCACACCTACGGTAGAGTATCCATAGAGACACTGTTCAAAGAAGTTCTGGCCTCAATCCCCAATTCTGCCCCCACTTCCCTACCACACAGCACAGAGATCCTTGGACAGAAGACACCCAAGGAGTGCCCAGTATCATTTGATTAGTTTGAAGAAAAAAAAAAAAAAAAAAAAGTTTTGCAGAACTTTAAGCATAAAAAGTATTGTTAGCATTTTCTTTTTTAAAGACAGTGATATTTGCTTCTTTTCACGTTACGTAAGTCATGTATGTAATCAAAAATCGATTTCTTTAACTTAGTCTGATATCTGTTTATCATTTCCAAGAATTTAGCTATTTTCTTAAACCCCACGGAAATATCAGGCAGCAATGTAAAAGAATATCATCTTTGTTATGTGCCCAAGAGACTGAACAGAAACTCACCAAGTCTTTTTATACCACATGGAAAAGAAAGTCCCTTGGCTTTTGAACATGTAATATCTTGGAAAGTACTTGCAAACCAAACTGAAAGCAGATGTAATCTTGTGGTGATTCTCTTCTGAAATCTCTTATGACAATACAACCAAATCATCTAATCATACGTGATTTGCATTTATAGTCCCTCCAAATTATTTGATTTAAAGACACTTCTCCTGTTTACTCTCGCTAAAAGCCTCAGGAGGTTTCTTGACTATAGCCAAGTTTAACAAAAACCCCAAACACTTACATCTACTCCTCCAAACAAATCAAACGTGTATGTGTTTGGGAAAGTGGATTCTTGAGCAGCTTTTCTATCCTCTGTGACAAATGCCATGGCCTCCATTGAGAGAAGTGGAGAAATTTCCTGAGAAGAGAGGAAAAAAACAAAAACAAAAAAACCCACCACATTCAGTCAACACGTTAGCAATGTACAATTTCTGTAACTGCCCTAGAATAACTGGATGATCAACTGATCCCTAATCGTGATTACATGCATTTTTACTTACTCCACTTCACAGATGGGCATTACTCCATATGCCCAATTTCAAGGACTGAAGCTACAACTGCATGAAGTCAAGTTTCTTAACATGCAACAGTTGAAGAAACTGGCTTCCAAGAAACAGGGTGGTATTTCAATAGAGTCAGTAACTGAGTATATATTACCTTGAGGATGCTTTGGCACTGAGAGAAGTCGCTGTTCGGATGGCTGTTCTCATACAGTTTCTGCAACAGCAGGGGAATTCCATTCCATTTTGCTTGTTTATCCCTTTCCTTTAACAAGGCTTCTGTGATCTACGACAAGGGAGAATACCATTGGCTTTCGGACTAACATTTGCTTATCCCTTCCCCATACTACATGCCACCATTAAGTGACCTCATGACTCACCATCGCTATGCTCCCAAATTTGGCGAGCTCTCGCTTATTTTACTCCATGTTAAACCACTGAACGTTTCTATACAACACAAAGGAATAATTGAAGGGGTTCTCTAATTTTGACATAAGTGAGGCATAAAAAGGAGAAAAAAAGAAGCTATATTTGGGTACCAAGTAAGATTAGTCCAGCACAAACAGAGTGAGAACACATCCGTATCAGAATACCCAATAGCAGAGATCAGCATTTCACCTCTGAAACCACTGGTCCAGGACCAGCATCTGAATAATCTTACTGGTCCTGAAAGGGTTCGTACTGGTTTGCCAAGGTGTTGTAGGCATTACAGGATGAGAGATCTTTGAGCATGGGTGTTCCTTAGTATATTAAATATTTCTTTCCACACTTTGTCTGTAAAAATCTCAATAGTTCCATTAAATTTAGTAAGTTCATATTTCTCCCTGTGACATTAGTAAAGCTTTGAGTCATATGTTGTTGCTGCCAGCAACATAAGCAGCTCTTGTTTCCTCTTTCAGGAATTACACAGGGCCAGTGCAGTGAAAAGAAGGTTGGAGTTAAAATAAAATTAGACAGAAAGGCTCTACCAACAGCAAGTAACAAGGAAGAATACCTACACTCCCCAAAAGTCCTTACCACTTCTTTGGCTGAAGTGATCCACACTTCCTCAAACTTTGGAAGTTCCCTCCAAAATGATGTACCAACACTGCTTTGAGTATTGTACTCGATAGACTTGGCTCAATAGGTGGGAGGATCGACAGCCAGGGAGATCAATAGGAAACAAGGTTAGTGACTTGGGAGGCTGCCTGAAACAGTGAAGCTAAATTCTTGCTGCTGGAAGATCCTTTCTATTTGTATAAGTTTTCTTTGGTCTTGTCTGAAATCTGATATCATAAGGTTCCCCTTGATTGTGGGTACAAACTACTGTTTCTAATGTCAGAAGCAACACTGGACAGATAGCTTTGCAGATATCTACGGCAAAAGATTCATAGTGAAGATGTAAACAAACTACTGAAGTTTTGTGGAACTACGAGAGGTTTTCTAGTCATCAGGTAACAAAAGTGACAAAAACAATCCAATGGAAAATTAAATTAAATGCCATCTGTGCTTAAGATTATCAGTTACCATATTACCTTTGGTTCACCCTCTCCCCCAAAGACCTCAAGGGAACATGAGCTACTGAATGCTAGAGTCATTAACACTTAGAGCTGAAATTTCAAGCTGCTTTCACAAAATAAAGAAGAGGCTGCTAAATTTATGCTGAAATTCAAGAGTGGGAGAGGAAGGATTCCGATAAATAGAGCCCTGCGCGGATACAAAAATGTGGATCCGCAACAGTCTTACCTGTATCCGCATCTGCGCCCACAGCAGCAAGCCGTCTCAAGGGCTAGCGACTGAGGGGGGAGGAGGGGACTGGGTCTTGAAGAGAAGAGGCATCACGAGGGAGTAAGTGGCAGCACAGGGGCGGGATCTCGAGAAGACAGGGCAGCGCAGAGAGGGGCTGGGGGGAAGGGGCATCGCATCACATGCTGTTCCCAGGAGCTTGCGAGTGATGGCACACGGCAGCAGCAGTGCGGTGTTGCGTCACAGTGGGGCAGAGGGGTGGGACATTGGGGCCCAGCCCTCTCCAATCCCTGTGGCTGGGGGCAGGCCCTGCTGCTCAGGAGCTGGTGGGCTGGGCCTGGGACTGGGAGTGTGGCCAGTGCTGCCAGGCCGGGCCATGGTGGGGACGCTGGCGCTGCCAGAGAGTAGAGCCCTGCGTGGTTGTATCTGCAGCCGATCCACTATCCGCAAAAATGGTCCGCGGATGCGGATATCCGCGGATTTGCAGGACTCTACATAGAAAACTATCATTGTTTTCTATCTAGTTTAAATTTCTCTCATGGCCTCTATCCCAGGTGATGCTCAAAATGCCTTAAAACCATTGTTACAGTAAGTTCCTGGCATTAGTTTATTACTCAATATTTAAATATATCTCAGTCTAAAGACATCTATCAAAAGCTCTAGGCACCTTTGGCCTATGTTTAACATACATACTGCAACTAGTATCCAAAACAGTAAACCCAGCATCCTTTCCAAAACCAGTGAGCCAAGATACCCACACCCACACTGTGCCCAAAAGACGGCCCTCAGCACACCCCTGCCACTCCAAAAGCTCAGGAAGAAAGATTGACTTTGAAGGTTAATACGGTTTGGCTGTTATGGACTGGTTTACTGGCAGCAGGGCCATCAGAAAATGAATTCCAAAGCCAGAGGCCCCCCAGGTCATCCTGGCAGCAGTCCTTCAAAGTCACCAGTCCACAAATCATAAAGTGGTAGGCCAAGCAAAGCAATGCCCTAATTCAACTCAATGGCATTTCTGTTTGTATGCAATACAATAACTTTGGGATTAATCAGATGCAATTTTCAAAAGTTTCAGGCAAGTTTGATGTTGATAAAAAAAAAAAAAAAAAAAAGACAAAACCAGAAAAGCCTATGGCCACGAAAACAATAGGGTTCTGTCCAGAGAGGGAGGGGCCTGGCTATAGTGGGGAAGAGGAGGGCTGTGCAGCTTGGCCTATATAAGCAATTACATATTCAACCCTCTAGTAAGTTACAGTGCTTTTCATGACCCATTTGAACACTGTGGTAGAGTCCCAGATTCTAAGCTGTTGTTTTAATGAAGGTAGCAATATCCTATACCTCCACCCATATGTGGCAGTCTTTCTTTAGTGAGCCACCAACATGCTCCTGTCCACATTCTGCAAGATAGAGCATTAATTGCACTTCAAGGAGTAGAAAAAGGACCTGCTTATGAAATCAAATTTGTTCAGGGATAGAAGCTTCTTTTCTTAGTAGTTCTTTTTGCTGGTTATGGCAGGAGGGACCACACTCAATAACAAAAGGCTGGATAGTGTTAATTGGTACCAACCTTGTCAACTATCCACTGTAGGAAAGCCTAAAGAGCATTGTAATCTGCTGCACTTGAGTCAATTTACACTATTCTCTAGCAGTTAGTCCAAAATAGAAAAGTGCTGTCAAAAATTAAATCTTATTTAAAGACCTTAATCCCAGCGAACCAGAAATGGAAGGGGTTGGGGGGAGAATTGGAGATAGACTTTCAAGATTAAGGAGATATTAAAAGAAAGGGTTATGAAGATTCTGAATGCAGTTTGATGCAGATTCCAGTAGGGATGCATAGCAGCAGAGAAAATACAGATCTTTCCCAGGGTGGACTACTTCTTGAGTGGATGGAAGGGGGAGGGGAAGTTCTTGGCAGGCTGTGAGGGTTTGATAACAGGGGCAGTGCCCCAAAATTAGACATACCAAAATTGTGATAACTGGGTCTATAAATTTGCCCTAATTGTGAGCTCAGCCGTGAGGAGTGTACATTCATAAAATGTCATAACCGCCTATAACAAATGTTGAAGGGAAAGTGCAAAAGTGAGACAGAAAAACTGAATTAGTCCAAACAAAAAAGGCCTACAGATCTAACTCAAGGACTGTATTATGGCAAACAAGAGAAGTGTAGAAACAGAAATCAGTAAACCAAAATTGGTGTGTCAGAAATTAGGCCTAATTGGTGGACACCATAGTAAGGCGAATGGGCTATTCCACCCATTACTCCCTTTAAGGACCCAAAAGAAAGACTTTGGGGGGGGAAATTGGCTACTGGAGTGAGCTTCACCATCATGACTTCCACCCCCACCATCTCCTGGGACCCCAGGCCTTTGTCCTCCTCTTCCTGAAGGATGTCCTGACCAGACCAGGCCAGAAAGAGGACCCAGATGACATCGCCACCTCTACCAGCTCTGGCTGAATCCCCAACTACTGCCTGGGATGTGAGATTTCATTCCCTCCCTCCCCCATGTCCTTTTCCTTCCCAACCTTTTCTCTTCTCTCTCTCCCTCCCTCCTTTTGCCTTCTGTTTAATAAGAATCTGGCTTAGCCATCCAAGACTATATATTTTGCAACACTGCTACAAGCTTGTGACCAGAAAGAGGCAGCTAAAAGCAATGCCCTAAACAGCCCCATCCTGGTACAAGTTTGCCAGGTCTCAGTGTCCCCATCCTTGACACTACAGGAATATTCCTACTGATACCTTTGCCAAATTTCAAGTCTCTGTTACAAAGCTAGAGCTTCTCAACAAAATGGTTGTAAGATGTTTTTGCCTAACCTCATTGTGAGAAAAAAGCTGAACTGTTTTTGCTGAAGTTTTCCAACAAAATTCAGCCTGAAGCAGACATCTGGCATAGAAAATTTCAGCCCAAACATTTTAAGTTCGGCTAAGTTTAAGCAACTGAAAATATGGCCTTACAATGGAAAATGATGAGCAACCTTAACTAGAGGTGTCGCTGCCAGCATGACCCATAATACATTAGATAGGAAGAACAGTACAAAACTAAGCAGCTAATTCCTGAGACTTCCTGAAACTTTGAGCGTTGGAAGCGACATGCCAGCAAATTTCTTAGTAGAAAGGTTTCAGCTCACAAGGTATGCTGATCTCACAACACTGTTGTGGGGCAGAGGCTTACCCTGTGTAAGGTAATTACAACCAGGTAATTGTCACTCAAATACTTCCTGAATCTCCCTTCCAAGCGCTCTACAATCTAAGGCCAAGTCTATGCCAAGGAATTACGTCAACCCAGCCACATCCCTGAGCAATGTAATTACGCCAGCCTAACTCCTGGCACAGACAGTGCTGTGTTGACAGAAGAACTTTTCCATCAACCTAGCTACCACCTCTCGGGGAGGCGGATTAGCTATAGCGACAGGAGAACCTCTCCCATCATTGTAATGAATGTCTACAGTGCAACACTGCTGCTGTGCCATCGCATACCCGTATAAGGCCTGGTCTACATTACACAGTTGACATAAGG